CTGCAGCACAACGGCTTTATTTACATTAATTAACAGAAGGGTATTTATTCTGCAGGAGGTGTTCACAATGGAGAATATGTCCCTTGGCTGTACTGCTATGACCCTGTGATGGACGTCTGGGCCCGAAAACAGGACATGAACACAAAGCGAGCAATCCACACGTTGGCTGTAATGAATGACCGACTGTATGCAATTGGAGGGAACCATTTGAAAGGTCACATTTTTAACAGCAGAAAAGCATTTCCGTGTCCCCTATCTCCCGATAAAGAATATTTTTGTTGGACAGTTATTGTTAAATACGTTAAAAACCAGGCAACACAATTTAACAGGACACTTGAGCCAGCAATTTTTAAAACATTTTATGCAAATTATTTCAAAATTATAACAGTACATTAAATATATGAGTAATGAATGCTTTAGATAATAAAAATGGGAGCTTCCATTACTCAAAGGCATGGACAATTTGTCATTACCAAGAATTCAATGAAACAAACAGATTATTCTTTGACCCGAAAGTACCAGCAATATTTTCCTCTGTAAATCATTTTCCAAAATGTGCAGTTAGAGAGAGCTTTATTCAGAGCAACACACAAAAAGAAGCTCCTGATTTAATGAAGGAAAAAAACCCAAACCTCCAGCCGTTAAATATTAGGACTAGGCTCTTTAGATCCCTTTTTAGTATTAAATGTAGCTTGTTAATTATAATTCTTCTTAGAGGTCTCATTTTCATCTTTTGAAAAGGTCTCATATTAAAATAACTACTGGTTAGGCATCTGGTATTTTTGTCCTAATACCTACATGCCATTGCTATTACTGCTAAAGAGATTCTGCTTAATCCAGCCACTTAGACAAAAAGCACAGCTCCTGCTCCTTTGTCCCCTGACAGTATTTGACAGTTTATATTCCCATTTTTTTTATTTCTCCTTTCGTGCTTAAAAAAAAAAAAAGAAAAGAAAAAAGCCTCACAACAACAAAAAAGAAAATCGTAATGCAAAAGAAAACGTGATGTTAACTGCCAGTAAAACCAGGAGATGTGTCTGGGTGGCTGGTAGCCGAGTCCCTGTGAGGCTGTGAAACCAGACGCTGCTTTTGGAGAGCTGAGTGCCTGCGGGGCGTGTAGATGTACATTTTCCCTGCGAACAGTACTGGTACATAAACCCCTGCAGCCAGGTGTAGGGCTGCCGTGCCTCCGCTTCCCACCCCCAGTTGTGATGGCTCTTCCTGGGCTGGACATCACAGGGTCCAGCAAATTTTGTAGAGGTTGCAGAGCTCCAGTGTTGGCTTTTTTCTCCGGCTGAAGTGAAAGTTAACATGTCACAGCCCTCCTACAGCCAAAGCAGATGCTTTGGTTTGCATAGGCTTGAACCGTTTCCATCCTGCCTTCTCCTTTTTTCACCCAGTTCCACCTCCCACCCTCTGGGGAAGAAGGAACTTGTGACAAACACCGCGTTTTTGCCTCTGCAGCTCTTGCCCGATGTGCCTTTGTTTTGTATGAATTGCTCGCTGTTGTGAGAGGTATTTCACATCCAGGCTTCTGCAAAGCAGCCTGCTCTCTGGAAGAAGGGTTTTTTGGAAAACTGTACAGTGAAACAAAAGGAGGAGCTGCAAGGAAGGGGAGGAGGGAAGGGACTGAAGTGCAGATGAAGTGCTACAGAATCTCCAGCCGGGTGGGAATAGCAGGGCTCCATGGCACAGCCCTCCTTTGAGAAGCTGGATCCGCGTAGTGGTGTCAGCGGTGCGTTGACCGCATCGCAGCTAGCCGTGCGCGCGCTGCAGTTTGTCACGGAGCTTCTGACAGGTTCTGGGCACGCTGCGGTGGCCTTTCTATGGCCCCTCGGAAACTTTATGGCAACGAAAAACTGTTTCAGCAGAGCTATTCATTCCTGACATAAATAATACTTGTACAAGCAGCGTCATTGGGAAGTAGCAGTTACCAGCAAATGCACTTTTCCAGAATGTCTAACTTCTCTTTTCTGTCATACCTTGATGGAGAAGACAGTAGTGTCACGTAAAGCATCCCAGCATATTAAGAAAGCCATGATTTTCCTGCGGTGTTAAAGAAGGCAGTTTGAGATGGGGAAATGTGTAAATATTGGAGGAGGAACCAGGACTCCTGGGTTCCGTGTTGGTGTTCACCTCAGCTGACACTAAACATCGCAGCTTGAGAGCCTTGAGCTGAGACCCATCTGCCCTTTGGTGACTACAGATCAGTGGTCACATGGAGCCTTTGTCAGTCTGTTGGGGAAGGATGGGGCCACCGGCTTTTTTTGGTGACATTTTCTGTCGCCCTAAAGACGTTGTCACATCACAGCTACTTGCTAAGGTTAAAGCAGCCTGAAAATCAAAGCTGGTCCTGAATTGGTCCTTATAGCACCTTCCAGTACCTGAAGGGGCTACAAGGAGGCTGGGGGGGACTTTTTACAAGGGCCTGTAGTGACAGGACAAGGGGTAATGGGTTTAAATTGAAAGCGGGGAGGTTTAGATTGGATATCAGGAAGAAATTCTTCCCGGAGAGGGTCGTGAGGCACTGGCACAGGTTGCCCAGAGAAGCTGTGGATGCCCCATCCCTGGAGTGGTTCAAGGCCAGTCTGGATGAGGCTTTGAGCACCCTGGTCTAGTGGAAGGTGTCCCTGCCCATGGCAGGGGGGTTGGAACTAGATGGTCTTTAAGGTCCCTTCCAACCCAAACCATTCTGTGATTCTATGAATGTCACGTCCATCGTGCTGAGCACCTTGTCCCTCTAGAACCAAGTGCCATCAGTTGTCTGAGGTCTACCTTGACTTGTTAGGCATTGATTTCTGAGCCAGATTTAATCTGTTCACTTTGGAATAGATGAGATCTGCTGACCTTGGAGAAGGACTGCCAGGACACTCTTTTCGTGCATGTTCAGACTCGCATTAGCGCTGATGGATGAGGAGGAATATTGCTTCAATCTGCTAGCATCTTTGATGGGTTGTCACTGAGTGTTGCTTTTTGATCTGTTCAGGTTTTATACGTACTTGTGATTTGTAGGAGACACTAGAACTAATGGTAGAAGCTTTCAGCAGATTCGTTTGAACTGAAATAATGAGACATTAGTGTTACATAAGATAGCTTAAATGTATGTGGTAGTATTTTCTAGAAGAAAGTTTAACAACGATGCTATAATTGCAATCATATCATTGTAACTGTAATTTAATAAATTTAACAGTAAAACAAATAATAAAACCGTATGTCATAACGCACGATCTCTCTTCTCAACGCCATCATCCAGGCTTCTCCCATCTCGACGTAATGCTTGTGGAGTGCTACGATCCAAAAGGCGACCAGTGGAATATCCTCCAGACTCCTATTTTGGAGGGTCGCAGTGGCCCTGGCTGCGCAGTCCTTGACGACAGTATTTACCTTGTAGGAGGCTACAGCTGGAGTATGGTGTGTACCTGCTTTCCCCAGTGACCCTTCCACTCCTTCCGGGCTCTTGCAGCCAGTCTGTAGGTTACTCAAACGGGGCGGAAAGGAGACGAGGGATGAAGTAGCTGTAGGGGCAGGTTTTGGTCTGTTTTTCAACTTACAAAGAACATGGGGTATTTTTTCAACATGGCATGTTTCTGTTTGGGTGAGGTTTTTACCAGATTTTATTGACTGATCTGGAGTAATACAATAATCAGCTGTAATTTGGCAGAAATGACTGACGGGACTGGACGCCTATAGCTCTGCTTGTGAAGGGGCCTGATTTCCAGAGGCTGGGCGCTCAGCCCATGTCCAAACCAAACTTCTTGAAGGGCTCTTAAATTAAAGCCCAAAACCAGGAGTCACTTTCAAAAGAGGCGTTTCACCTTCTAAAGCTGATGCGTGACTTGGATTTAACTTAAGCCGCATTTAATATGACTTTTTGTTCTATTACAGGGAGCCTACAAATCTTCTACTATTTGCTATAGTCCTGAGAAAGGGACCTGGACAGAACTAGAAGGAGACGTTGCCGAGCCGCTCGCAGGACCCGCGTGTTCGACTGTCATATTGCCAGCCTGCGTACCGTACAACAAGTGACAGTCGGGGAGCGCTGGCACGAACACTGATTGCATCTGGGAAAATAATGACGGGTGACAAATATTTTTATTAGAACAGGATTCCTGTTAAAAGAAAACTACCATAATCATAATTGACCCTTTATTCCCCTTTTATGCTTTAGGAGCAAACTAAACAAAACCCAAGTGTTGTCCCATCTCAGATAGATGCCGGTGTCTTACGAAGCAAGTCGCTAAAACACACCGAACATTACATGCTGACAGACTGCCATTTCAGACTGATTTTAACTTTTTTCCTGCTGCAGAGATGTTCCTCACGTCAAATTTAACTTTTTAAAAAACAAATAAAAAATGAAGGCTAAATGTTCAAATGCAGCCTGAAGAGACAAGATCAGTATTGTGCATTGTATCTACCTGCATGTGATCTGTGTTGAAGTCATGAGGATGTTGTTTCCATGAATGCTTCAGAATTCAGATAGTGAAAAGCTCACACTGCATTGCAGAATTGTCTCCTCCTCTGTAATCCCAACCTACAGCTACTTCACATGCTCTGCGAGCAGCACAGCATCAGAAGATTATGAAAGGTAAAGAAGTATCATTCAGTTTTTGCACAGCTTGGCATCTAATACGCTCTGCCTTCGAAGTCCCCGTGTGCAAGCGCAGCGGAAAGCAGACTACAAAGAAAGCCATGCTTTACAGAGCACTTCTTGCAGCGGCAGCTTAGGGATTAGGATCAAATTCTTCTAATCGCACTTGTGTAAAGTCGGAGTCGTTTCACTGAAATCCCGCGGAACGACTGATTTTACATGAGCAAACCAGAGATTTGGTCCTACGCCATAAAATCCTGGGTTCGTAAAGCAAGTTATTGCTATGGCCACTTAATGAGGCACCAGAACCCTTACTTACTTTTCACTAACCTGTGAGGTAGGAGCATCCGTGCTAGTTGCTTCCAAAGACAAGGCGACTGCATTTAACTCAACAGGTATTGCTTTGGACTCTTAAATGATTATGCAAAATTTTGGAGAAACGCTGGTAAGTAGTTGAAATACGCCTGTGTGGTTGATCTTAAATTGTACTCCGAAAGATTTTTACTCCAGATCCAAAGTAATGTGAGGCTGGACTTTCTACTGCCTTACAGCCTGTGTAATTATTTACACGTTGCAGTGCGAGTTCAGAATGCTGCCACGTGGGACCAGTAGCATTTAGGACTCGCTTCGTATGAACTCAGAGTTGCTTGCACAAGTCAGGCTGTCCATCTTTTAAGCTTCTGCCCTTCTGTCCCTGGCTTTGCAAAAACAGTGACAAAATCTGAGCCTGATTCTCCACCACCTTGCAGTGAACACAAATCACCCACACCTCAGCAGTGTATATGCATAATTCTTCCATTGTGGTTTACTGGTGCTGCTTCCATTACACTCAGGACCGTCCCCTTCGCCGGTGTAAACTGACGCTGCTCCACTGAAGTCAATGGGTGTGCTTTGGTTTAAGGATCTGGCCTTTAATTCGCCTAGTTGTAATGGCTGCACCAGATGAAAGGCGAAGGGACTCAGATCCTGTGTTTTCCAGGCTGCGCAGGTCTTTCACAGTAGGACTTAATGCTAGTGCATTAAGCGAGGAGCAGGTAACTACTGGAGGTTGGTTTCTGCTGCAGAGGCAATAGATGGGAGGAAGAATTCATTATTTCCTTTGCAAAATAGAAAGAGGGCGAATGTACACAGAAATTACACTGTATATTGATGCTTGAGAGCCATACAAATATCTTGGGACTGTTTCTCTCTGGCATCAGTCCACTTTTATTGCAGTGCAACTCCCTTGCTTGCAGCAGAATTACACAGTTGTAAAACTGGTGTAGTGCAGTAAAGACTGATACCATACAAATGCAATAACCCAATTGATGAGGTAGCTGCACGCCTGGAAAAAAAATGTTTAAACAAAATAATTATCTGAAGATGCTAATATTTGAACGTGCCATTGGGGAGTTTTTCGGTGAGCATCACTAAGGAGCTCATAAAGGTGGAGTGTATATCCTGAAATCTCAATCCATTTCTACTATATAGTGCAATCTTAGTTGTTTTTCTATTTATTTATATTGTTCAGATCCAAGGGATCCCTTGTAAAATATATTTGGTGCAATCATGACCTTTTTTTTTTCCTTTCCTGTTGAAAGTATATAAATATAAATATATATAAAAAGGAAACTGTTAAGATACTAAGTGAGGAAGCCTTGAGCGACATTTAAGATCAGGATAAGGTCTGCCATTAAACACTGACTGTCACCTGTCTCTAATGAAACGTACCATTTTTAAAGGATATTTGTTGTCCTTTTAAGTGGTCTTTTTTTTACCAAGATAATTTAAAGATTTATGAGGACTGTATGTAAATCTTTCTATCTTTCAGGAAGGCATGACCAAGGAAAGTGCTAGCTGATTAAGTCACACAAAGAATGTAAATTTTGTACAGTACTAGACTGTGTAAATGAAGCTTGCTTGTAGGGGGGAAACTTTAAATAAAACTTTATGTACTAATTCAGCTGTCTGCCATATTCCTACTTACAAAGTGTATGTATAAATAATATCTACATTAAATTCTTTGGAACTTTTTTTATCATGTAGATGCGTAAACTTATTTTCTGGCCGTACAGAACAGCCTCGCTGTTCCCCAAGTGTCATTGCTCATTGCTCGGTGACGCAGTAAGATGTAGTGACTCCAGAGCCCCCCCTCTGAGCCCAGGCCAGGCGCAGGGAAAGCCCCACCAGCCTGCCCGCGGGCAGGGTCCGGCCTGGGAAGCCTACGGATGCGATCGGATGCCTGTGAAGTGCCTTGTGCTGCTCTGCCCGTTCCTCCCTCCCATGGTAAGTCAAAAGGACACTGCCTGTGCTTTGGGGAATTTAATGCTAGTTGTGGCAATTTCTTCCCTCTTCCAAATGTTCCTCCTGTGGTGATTAACCCTTCCAGCTAAGGGTATGTCCATTCTTGGAGGGGAAGTGCTGGCACGGATGAGCTGTAGAGGAGTTGGGGGACAAGAGGTCTTGCCAGGCGGAGAAGGCAAGGTAAAGGCAGGGGTTTTCCCAGGAAGCGGGATCGTTACCAATACTAGTTACTATACTACATGCACTATTTATTCGTGCCTACCAACCTTTGTCATGGACCAGGACCTTCCTGTGCAAGCCAAGTGGGTGCACTGAGCAAAGAAACAGCCAGCCCCTGACCCCCGTGTGAGCTGTGCTGGGGGGGGGCTGAGGGTGCGGCAGGGGAGTCTGGTCTAACGAGAGGGGATCAGTCCTTTTCAAGTCTTGTACAAGGAAGGGAAACTTCCTTTTGGGCATACGAGGAAGCTGGGAGGGACTTTCTACAAGGGCCTGTAGTGACAGGACAAGGGGGAATGGGTTTAAATTGAAAGAGGGGAGGTTTGGATTGGATATCAGGAAGAAGTTCTTCCCGGAGAGGGTGGTGAGGCACTGGAACAGGTTGCCCAGAGAAGCTGTGGATGCCCCATCCCTGGAAGTGTTCCAGGCCAGGCTGGATGAGGCTTTGAGCAACCTGGTCTAGTGGAAGGGGGCCCTGCCCATGGCAGGGGGGTTGGAACTAGATGATCTTTAAGTCCCCTTCCAACCCAAACCATTCTATGATTCTATGAAAGGCAAGCCAGCAGCAACTACGCTAAGTTAGCACAATGCACAGGACCATTTCATTAATGAGTTTATTTCTGAAGAGAAAGGAAGAAAGAGACATCTATGCATATTTTTTTTAAGTAATGCAGGAGGAGAAGAAAGAATGTTGGAAGCAGTGGGCAGAGATACGATTGAGAAAGGAAGGGAATAAAGCAAGAAGAGGTAAGAATGAAAGGGAAAAGTAGAAAACGATTGCCTGCAGGATGAAAAAGTGGGAAGTTCTTGCAGATGGAGGGCACAGAGAAAGAGCTGGAGAAATGAGGAAGGCAAATACGGTTTCTGAGAAGCACACATCAGAGCAAGCCTGGGAAGAAATGTCAGGAAAGATGATACAAAGAGCAGGAGAGAAACATGGGAAAATGCAATAAAAGGACATGAAATAAACATGAAACAAAACAAGCATTTGGGGACGGTATTGCTTCCGTTTTCTTCAGCTATTTATTTATGGTGGTCAAGCAGAAGGATCAAGGCAGCAGGGTACTTGGGTGTTTCAGCGTCCAAGCTTTCCATGCATGGACTTCAGCACAACAGCATCATGAGAGGGAAGCCCAGCGGCACCTCTCTGTGATGCCTGCCCTGCGGCAAGCGCCCGCTGCAGTCAGCACGCATGCCAAGGGAGGATTGCTGGCGCTGGGAAGCAGGGGAGGAGCGGATGTGGCGCAAGTCTGAGGCCCTACTGGGCTGGAGGGAAGCATCTTCTTGTCTTTGGGAGTTGGACACCCGGACTGTTTGTCCATTCTCTGCTGTCCTTCCTGCCAAGGATGAATCTTCTCTTTGTCCTCAGCATGACACACTTGCCTAGGTACTTCTGCAGTTCCCGGCCTGGAAAACCACAGACCAGTGAATGGAGCCATTTCCCTGTCCCTGGGCTGTGGTCCACCCCCTCCCCAAGGAGCGGAGAAGGCTGGGCTGCCACCGACTTGCAGCCTCTACGCGTGCCCCTAGGGAGGGCAAAGACGCATTTCAGAAATACGCTTTTCATTGATTATAGCACTGTCTTCAAAGGTATTGTGCACTCACCTCCCAAATCTGCCATTGCTTTCCTTCCCATGTATTTTCCCCCTTAATACAATGATTTACTCTGCTAGCTGCATCTGTGAGCCAATTTCTGGGAAAAACCCATGCCAAACCTCATTATATATACCGGTTTGTATTGTATGATAATCACACGCCAGGCTAGCACTCTAGTTCTTCTGCTTTAAGGGACAGACCATATTTCAGCTTGCAATTTAAATGGAGCTTTCCAGGTACAGACAAAAGAGACAGAAATCCCAAACAGTGCTTTAAAGGGCAAAACAGTAATTGCTAACGTACACACTCTTGAGCAGCTTTAAGGTGCACGGTCTCATTTCTGTTGTTGGTGTCACAGCAGAGAAGAGTGAGTGTTTCAGCCTCTTGGGTCCAGACCAAGGAAACAGTGACGGCAGTGCTGGAGGTCAGAGTGGTTAGCAGGAAGGGAAAGTACACTAATGAATTCTGGAGGGCTTGTAATGCCATAAAAGATTCAGTTAATCTGCAGCATAGATGTTGATCAGCGAAACTGAACCTAACTCTCTGGACCTTGTCAGATGTATTCTGTGCATGTCAGTGTTCCACACCAATTACAGATTTTAGAAGATGCTCTCATGCAAAACTTTGTGCCCTAATATATAAGCCAGCTCAGATGTAACTAAAATTAAAATCTGACTGTGGCAAATCTCTGTGATCCTGATATATGAAAATCCAAATAAATGATTTGTTCCCAGAAATGAAAAATAACTTCAGCAGATATGCAGGATTAATCCAGTTCAATGAATGCATCTTGCGTTGATTAATAAAGCATTCCTGAATTGCAAAGTAAAACGAGAGGAGACTTCTGGTGCTGATATATTTGTGTATTTCTGAAGCTAGAGAGAAATGCACGCTTGCAAGAGATGTGGTCAACCAGTGTAAACAGAGATTGAATACAAATAGTGATTTTCTAATTGTCTGTTTTCTCCCTGCAGCAGAAAACTACCTTTGTGTCATTGATCCTTTCTTGAAGAATGCGGGTACTATGTTACCTGCCACAATACTCATCTAACACGGTTGTGCAATGACTCCAATTAGCATCCAGATGACATCTGCAGTCTTATCTAGCAAAGAAAAGCAAAACTTGAGCTACTTTCTGCTGACTTCCTTGCCATACAGGGTAGAAATTTTGGCGGGTAGCATTACCTTTTGTGATCTGCTGCCCTTGAATTTTATTGGCCTTAGAGGTGAACAGATGCAGGGAACCTATTTAGAAAGTGAAGGAGATTTAAACAAATGCAGCGTTTTCCCAGATTTTTCTTTTCCTTCAGTATCTGCACA